GTAGGGTATACCTTAGTATCCTTTTCCTTTGGCGAATCTGGCAGCCTGGTTGGTCATGAGCTCCTCTACATATCTTGATGTCCAGTTTTAATCTTTGGTTCTTATGAAGGTGTTTTATGGACTTCCATCAGTCCGACAGCATCATCAAAAGTTTGTGCTACCTCTTTATTCAGGAATTTTCAAGTGGAATTCTGTCTCCTTGGTTCCTTAGTCTTCTACACCCAGTAGTCTTATCGTGGGTTTGCACCGAAGTCTTATACAACACTGGTTATTAACATTCCTCTATGTATATGTACTATGTAATATTACACTTCGCATAGATGTCCTGAGCTCCCAATGTTGGTAGGACCCTGACTTGGTGTACCTGGGTTACAGCCACATGAGGCCAACCAATCGACAGGAGACAGTTTTCATATCACAGATATAATTTCCAAATTTCGTCATAGGTGGGATTTGAACCTTAAACCTGCCACTTAAAGGATGACAACCCAACCACTACACTAGGATCGCCATTCTCTAAAAGAAGTACTTCTGTTTTAGTACTGTTTTTAAAATTAAAAGAATTTTTAGTTAGGTTAATTTAGTTTTTTCTAAATTACTCTTTATTCTAATTACAGATAATCAGAAAAAAGAAATTATTAACTTTTTTAAAGACTTTTATTTTTTACAATATATCTTAAGGTTGTCTCAAAAATGCTAAATCTTTTTGTAATTATTTTATTAGAGATTATTAGAGAATTTTCAAGTTCTTTAAAACTTTTTTAATAGTTTTTTTTTAACTTTTATAGAAAGATATACTAAATTTATTTTTGATTTAATTTATTTAAGTAAAAATTTAAAACAAATTAGATTTATTAAAAGGTAAATAAAAATATGTCTATTTATAATGTATATTATTATTTATTTATTTATTATTTACAAATATATTACTAAATTTTATTATTATCTTAATACATGATTATGTTTTATTATTATTGCTAATACACAAATCTATTAATTAATCTTTATAAGCACTTCTAAAAAAGACTTGAAATATTTATTTTAAATTTGTTATTAAATTATTTGATGTTACAGTTGATGCTAAAATTTGGAATCTCAATGTGAAAATATAAATCCTACCAAAATTTACATATACTCTTTAATTATTAATTCTAATTCTAAACTCTAACCCAACTTTAAAAAAAAACCAAAATTTTAAACTTTCATATAAAAATAAGTTCGGATTTTAAGTTAAACTTTTAACTAACTATGTGCATTTTAAGAACTATAAGAAAAAATGCATTTGTGAAGTCAGTATAAACTTATATTTGAACCAAAAATTTGAATGTTTAGAAAAAATACTTAGAGAACAATAAAAAAAAAAAGTATTTATAAGGTTTAAATATAAGCTTGTATTTTTGAAAGCATATTTAGGGATGTATTTAATGAGATCTTCATGTTATTTTTAGAAAATGCTGTAGTAAGAAGAGGCCAGCATAAGCATGTGAATTCCTTTTTTTTATTTTAATCTAAAGAATCCTTGAATGCCAATGGTGTATTTAAAAGGTGTTTTTGTTTAAGGACCTTATATTTTGCATTTTATCAGTTAAAATTACTGTAACATAACGCATTCACTATCGATTATGCGTTTTGATCTATAAGACTTATGCGATAGATTAAGAATCGAATCTTTAATTGTTGTACTCTTGCTGCATCATATAATCGTAATAAATGAAAATTTGGTTACTTAAATTTATATAATAAAATTTAGAAATATGTATGAAAATTACGCTAAGGCCATTTTACGTAATTTTACGTAATTTATGTTGTTTTACGTGTATTATTCTTATGCTTCGCTAGAACTCAAAAAATTTACTGTGTGGTATTTGAATCGTAATATCTCATGATCCAATGATCAGAATCGCACGATTTTGGTACCATTCGACTCGTCTCAATGAAACTACCAAACTTGTTCGATTCTAATCAGTGGCTCGTGAGATACGTCGGGTGCGTCATAATACCCCTATTAACTTATAATTACGAGTAAATTTACCAATCATATGAAATTTTCTTAAATATGGGCATGCCTTTTAGCTGATCTATTTTATGTATGTTAAACAAAGAATTAATTTGAAAATGTTTATTTTTACAATACAATAATAGTATGAAAAAAATGTTTATTTTTATAATACAATAATAATGTAATAGTAAAAGATTTTTAGAGGTCACATATTCAACCGTTTTGCCCAGTTGAACCATTTTGACACGGGTGACCCGGTTTACTATAATCCGGTTCTAAACTCTAATTTCTTCTTCTCTTTGTGAGGTCTCATCGATAAATCCATGAATCTTCATCCAATCATCGTTCAAGAATTTAGTCATATAGTTCCGGACAGAGTCGGCTAATAGTACAACACACCGTTGACCTTTTTTCAATGATTTCGCAGCTTGAATCGCCCCCCACAGCACGGAACCAGATGAACCACCACATAAGATCCCTTCTTCACGAATTAGACGACGAGCCATGATAAAAGATTCTTTATCACCTGTTTTTATCCATTCATCAATTACGCTGTGATCAAGTGAGTCAGGAATAAAGTCATAACCAATGCCTTCAACCTGAGCATAATTATACCAAGAAGTCGTCATTTTTCGATCAAATAAAAGCAACTTGTAATCATAAAATAATCAACATTACCAAGTATGGAACCACAGGGGTGTTAGGATCTTTATCTGCAAGAAGTGATCCAATCGGATCCACACCAACAATCTTGACCTCTGGACATTTTTCTTTTAATTTTCTAGCAACACCAGTTATAGTCCCACCAGTACCTGCTCCCGCAACAAACATATCTATCTTTCCATCACATGATTTCAAAATTTCTTCTGCTGTATGATCGTAATGGGCGATAGGATTATATGGATTAGAATATTGATCCAGAATAACCGAGTTTGGAATTTCCTTATTGAGCCGTTTAGCAACCCCGATGTGTGATTCCGGGGAATCCCATGCTGCCTCAGTTGGTGTACGAATAATTTCTGCACCAAGCGCTTTGAGTATATCGACCTAAATAGATCAGTTATCAATGAATCACAAATAATTTATAATGGCTAAATGTTTATTTATGTACTTTCTCCTGACTCATTTTTTCTGGAAGGGTAATAATCGCTCGATATCCTTTTACGGCAGCAGCCAATGCGATTCCAATTCCAGTGTTTCCAGAAGTTGGTTCAATTAATGTGTAGCCAGGTTTTATGATTCCAGCCCTTTCAGCTTCTTCAACCATGCGTTTTCCAATTCGATCTTTTACAGATCCTCCAGCATTGAAATATTCACATTTTGCCACTATGTTCGTACTCGTAAATAAATATTGCAATGTATCAAGTTAATGTAACAGATAAAAATCACATACAAATTTCGCATTCAATTCCTTCAGCTTTTGTAATTTTATTGATTCTCACAAGAGGCGTATTTCCAATATGATCAAGTATATTATCTAAGATCAGTGGCTCAGGTAAACTTGATTTATAAGTAAATTTCAATCAATGAGCTAAGCAACTACTTTTAAATCCATGCTTGTTTACGTACAAAACGTGACTTACTGTTCTTCGTGATGATGAGAACTTGCTAAGGTAGTGTTTGGTGTCCAAGTACATTTTTTTTCGTTGTTCATGATAGTTATGGTACAGTCAGACCACTCTAAATGCAGCTCGTAAGAAAATTTACTATTCTAGATCAGCCCGACATGAATTCCGAACCCCCGTTAAAAATTGAATTTTAAAATTGTATGCAACATAAGGTGAGGTAGGGTATTGTGACGCATTTAAGAGTTTATATAAAAATTTCCAGAAAAAATGTATTTATTCTTGAAATTTATTAAATAAATTATTCATCAAATTAACCATCTACTAATAATAAAAAAAACCGACTTTAAAAAAAAGAACTTTGAAATATAAACTCAAAATCTTCTCAAGAAATGTTGTTTTATTGCATTGTACGTATTACAGTATTACATATGGGTCAGTCTGTACCGTTATCGGGCTTCGGGGACAATTCCTTATATTGAGAAATCGATGTTTAATCAATTTTAATAATTCAGCTAAAATTAGAAACCTGCATATCACATAAATACTGCGCATAATAATTTCTCATTAATATTAGTAAAATTATCGTAATGAATTATATTGTTAACTAGAATATAACTTTAATACTAATAAAATTATTATTATAAACCATATTATTGACGAAGTGTGTAATAAAATATGTTAATAAAATTATATATAATTCGCTTGTTCTTTTTTTTTTAATTAATTTCAAAAATCCGTAATGGAAGTTATTAATGACATAGAACAAGAAGATATATACAACATTGCGCCTCCATTTGTTGAATTAGAAATGGATGAATATGATGAAACTGATGATATTATTCATCAAAATGTTCAGGAATTGTGGGAATTTTGGCAGCAAAAAGAGTGCACATGTCAAAACAAAGATAACAAAACTTGTTATGAAAAGATCAGATTCTATAAATTTTTTAAACGACAAGAAATGTGTCATAATATGTTGCATGATAGTTTAGATAACTGGATTAAAGGATAACTTACATCATTTGCATTCAGTAAATTGCTAAAAAACAAAAAAAAATCCAGTCAAGAATCACATGATCATATCACTTATCAATATCGTTATGATGCTCAACATATAGTATGTTTAGCTACTTATATAGTATTAACTGGAGTTTCTTCAAGTTACCTTGACTGAATTAAATCACATATTAAAAATAATAGTACAGAAGAAATGGTTTATAGCAATATAGGACATACTTTTATTCAATCTAATCATGCAACTATTAATGAAGGAATATTACAAGAAGTTAATAATTTTATTTATAACTATGTGAATATTCATGAATTTCCATCACCAGGTCAACATATGTGACAAAATGTTATGCCAGTTATTTCACTTTCAGTTGGTACAACATATTATAATGTTTATGAAGAATATATAAATTATATCCAATCAATAAAAGATAATAATTACAAGATTATGAGTTATAAAACATTTCTTCAAGTTTGGAAAGAAATAGCATCAGAAATATGGTTAATGTTAAAAGCATCTGATTTATATGACAAATGTGAACAGCTTCATGTTTAAATTCAGGTTACTAGCAATATTGAAACTAACAAAATCTTTGTACTAAATTTGAACATTATTATACAGTTGCAATTATTAAATGTCAGCATTATAATGAAAATATTATAATTAGCAGACAATTAAAATCTGAATTTATTCATATTTGCTATGATTGGGCTTAAAACATTTAAATTCCTTATTTACTATAACAACCTGATAGATTATTTTTTAAATCACTGTTTAATGTTCATATTTTTGAAATTGCTAATACTGGATTTGAACCTGTAGTACAATGAAATTATATGATTAGTGAGTATCAATTTTCAATAAAAATACCTAAAGGTACTAACACTACTCTTAATCTTGTATATGATAGTTTATATAATTGAAATTCAAACAAAAAAATCTAAAAGTAACATATGATAATTGTAGAGATCAAAATAAAAATAATCTTACATTTTGGTATTACTTATGGCTTATCCTTATTAAATGATTTGATACAATTAAATTAAATTTTATGATTTCTAAACATACAAAGTTTATTTGTGATTCACATTTTGAAATAATCAAATCTGTTTATTATAAATTTAATATCATAAGTATGGATCATATTGAAACTATTATTAATCAATTGAAGAAGGACGAAAATAATATAGCAGTTAAGTATAATAATAAAGATCAAATAGAATAGAATTATTACAATTTTGAAAGTTTTTTAGAAACTTATTTTGTAAAAATTGATAGTATACATATATATCAGTATTTTTATTTTTATTATAATTATCTTGAAAAAGTTTTTATGTCATTAGAAGCTAGTGATTTAAAGAAAGAATTTATTATTTATAATAATGTTTAGATATAATTTCTTTAAAACCTTTATCTACAAAATGTCAGGCATAACTATTCAAAGATATACGTTCATACATTCATGATCTTCACAAAGATGAATTATGTTTTGTTTCAAGTGAATAATAATATTATATACTATAAACATTCTGTAATTTACATTAATTATTAATTAACTTGCATCATAAATTTGAAAACAATATGTCATTTTGCAATCAGTAAATCAATTTTTATACAATAAAATTTTTAGTAAATTTGTTCTTAAAGATTAGTTACCAAATTTTTTTTTGTTTATTTATAAATATAAAATAAAATATTTTTTAGCAAACTTAAATTATAATAAGCTTTAATAAGCTTTAATAATTTAATTTGACTTGGGTCTCATGACACAAAAATATATACTATATAAATGATTATCATCTTGCATCAGTATGCAAGGTTTTAAATTTAGAACAGAAAACCATCTATAAGTAAAAGACTTTGATTAAAAATTATAACAAATTGTATTATGATATTATGCAAAAAAGTTATATTACAAATAGAACATTTGCTAAGGAATATAATGCAATAAATTACCAAGATTTGATCAAAAAGTTCTAAAACTCTATAATGGTATAGACTGACCCATATACAGATAAGTATAATATAGCATAACAATAATATAACTACACATGATCAATATTCATTTTTAGTTTTTTTTCTTTTTTAGCTTCCCATTTAGCTCATTTCTGAGTTGCTGCTTTATTTATTTATTTTTTTGCTTTTTTAGTTTTACTTTTTGCTAGCTTATTCATTTCTTTAAAACATTTAGAGATTCTTCTTTAATAAGAAGTTGAGCAAATGGCAAAATTCTCATTTTTTTGACTAATTGGACTCTTTCTTATTGTCTTGTATTGAAGCACAAGAAGTAAGATACCTAAGGATTAGTTTTAATTAGCAAATACTAGGATTTTTAAATATTTCAAGTTCTTTTTTTAGTAGCATATTTTTTTTTCTTATAGATTTCTGTTTCTAATAGTTTATTTTTTTTAATAATATTAATTTGTATAAAATGGTTTAAAGAAGATGATGTTAAAGAAGATGAAGATAAAATATTAATTTGTTTGGTAAATAAAAAAATTAAAACAATAAAAATAGAATTAAAAAGTTTTTTTTTTTTTTTTTAATATTAATGATAAGGCTATGCTTTTATTTTTATTAAATATTTAATT